GGAACGCCGCTAGAAAGGGGCTCGGCTTTTCCTTCTGGCTTCATGGGCTTACTTGGAAAAAAAGGGGCTTCGTTCCTTATTTATGGTTCCTTAGGTCAAGACCCTCACTGTAGATTCCCTCCGTTTCCCCAGCCCTGGCGTTGCCGCGCGGCGAGGTGCGCGGAGCCGCACCCGCTCCGCTCCCCCGCGTGGCCCCGCGGCGAACAGCACCGACTCGTGTGCTCGCTCGCCCCCCCCCCCCTCCGGGCGCTGCCGCGCGACGGGCCAGGCACGGTGCTCCTCGGCTGCTGCCCCGCCCTCGCTGCCGCGCGAGGAGTGCATCGAGATCGTATTTTGTCTACAGTGCCGTTTTTTAATACATGCTCCGCGTGCGGATCATGTCTTAATCACCCCAGTGCGACCCTACCTAGGAGTTGGAGCCCCTAGGAAAGCAGCATTAGTAGTAGCGGTAAACGCCGTCCTCCTCCTTCTCCTCATCGTGGTAGTTGCCTTTGCTTTTGCTTGTTGTTGCTTTTGCTTGGTTTTGCTTTTGCTTTGCCTTCGCACACACACGCATGTTTTTGCATTCGCTCACCTGGTGGGCTCTCTGATCGTACTGTTGCACATTGCTTTTGCTTTGCCTTTCCTTTGCTTTGCTTTTGCTTTTGCTTTGCTTTGCTTTGCGCTGCTAGTGCTTTGCTTTGCTCTTGCTGTTGTTGTTTTGCCTTTGCCTTTCTGCTATGCTATGCTATGCTATGCCATGCTGCACTATGCTATGCTATGCTATGCTATGCTATGCTATGCTATGCTATGCTGCGCTATGCTATGCTACGCTAGGCTGCGCTATGTTATGCTAGGCTATGGTATGCTATGCTATGCTGCGCTATGTTATGCTATGCTGTGCTATGCTGCGCGATGCTATGCTATGCTATGATATGCTATGCTATGATACGCTGCGCTATGCTATGCTATGTTGGGCTATGCTATGATATGCCGAGCTAAGCTAAGCTAAACTAAGCTAAACTAAGCTAAGCTAAGCTAAGCTACAGCTACGCGAAGCTAAGCTGAAGCTAAACTAAGCTAAGATGAAATAAGCTAAGCTAAGATGAGATAAGCAACGCTAAGCTAAGGGGACGTAACTGGAGGAACCGCGGGGCGGATACTGGGGGAACCGCCCGGGCCGGTTCCCACTGCCCGGCCCTTTAAGCCAAGAGAGTAAGAACCCTTCTAGGCAGAGCCTAGGTCGGGAAAAATGCAGGGATTTAGTACTAAAAGCAACGATGAGTTCATGCATTACTTTATTCATAAATTACTCTTGTATCAAAAACCTATATTTTAAAATCCCGTGTGTTAGAAACTGCCCTGTACCCCCCTTGCGTTGCCGCCCGACGAGCGCACTGGAATAGTCCTGCTGCGCCCCCCCCCCGCCCCGAGTCGCGGCCGCGTGACGGACACCGGGTCGACGGCTGGTGGCTTCCGAGGCATCCCAGGCATGCCGAACGGATTCCTCGGGATTCCTGCGGGCCTTCTGCGCGTGGGCATGCAGCTGAGTTCTGCCCCGCCGCGGGGCCCAATCCTCGACGCACGGACGGTGGGGAAACCAAAAGGTACCCATGCCGCCACTCCCCAGGCCTCTCCCGGGGCGCGTTCTGACCAGGATTCCTTCCCAGGAGGCCCAGATAAGAGAAAACGAGGGAAGGGCAGAGGTACCCAGACCCCCGACGTCGTGATTTTTCCACAACGTCGACCCCCAGAGGTGTGGACCCCTTCCCCGGGACCGGCTTTTCGTCCTGGGTCGTTTCTTGACGGCCCCGAGGCCTTACAAAAGGGCCCCCGGAGGCCGAAAGTACGGGAAACATTCCGTCGAGATGTCTTCGCAGCGCGAGGAGGTCTGGGTGCCTCTTCCTCCTCATGAGGCATGCCCTGACGCTGGCCCAGGGGCAACGATAGGGGGGGATTAGGCATGGGGGGGGATGCATCGACCCCCAATCTCCCACTGATCGCCGATAGGGGCCCGATAGCCCCCACCTGCCCGGGAGCGTGCGGATTCACCATCGGAGGCCCACCGCCGATCTGTCGGCGATGTGTCGCCGATTCCAGGTCGATGCTTCCCCCCCTATTCCTAATCCCCCCCTGTCGTTGCCCCTCGTTGGCCCCTTGGAGATCGGGCCGCCCCGGCGCGCCAGGGGGTGGCCCGCCCGTCCGGCCCGCGGGCCCGGCCGTGCCGGGCGCGGCGGGGGGGCTCACGAGCAGGCCCAGGGCCAGAATTGCAGGCGGGCGTGGCCCGCCTACTGCGCCGTGGCAGGAGTTCGTCACCCAGACATGCGACGTCCTGATTTTTTCAGGACGGCGCCCCTGGAAGTCCCGACCCCTTCCCCAGGGCCGGTTTTTCATCCCGAGTCGTTTTTTGGCGGACCCGAGGCCCGGCGAGGGCCCCCCCAGGACCGAAAATGGCCCAAACCAGCCCGTCCTGATTTTTTTCCGACGCCACCATGTCTGGGCACGTTTCAGGAAGGCTTGA